TGTGCGTTCATTGCAGGTAAGGGAGCTTGAGTTGGATTCTGTTCCTCCCGGTGCATCATTGGGAAATGGTATAAAAATACCACACGAGGGTGTTTGGCAACATGTCTTTGCCCCTCTCGCTGCCTTTCACCTGTCCATTGGCCCCACTCACTGCATTATTCATACACCACGCAGGAGATTTGTCTGGTTTTCTGGCTCACTTTTCCATTGTTCAGCCCCCAGTCCTCTCCTCGTTGGATTGCCTCTTTATACTCTTCTCTGGAAGGAGTTAAAAGGAGCCAGCAGTTCAGAAACCAGACAAAACTCCGCTGCAATGTAGATTAGGCTGGAGCACAACACGCTGTGACTTAGGCGTAAAGTAACCAACAGCCTGCACACCTGATCCACGGTCCCTCGATAGAAAGCAAAGGACAAGTCCCTGCCGTGCTCTGGGCTTCCACTGACGGGATTCCTGGCAAGGCTGAGATGATTCCTAGTAAGCAGAGTGGTTATAGTTTCTGATGGCCTCAATATGAAAACAAGGGCTGTAGCGAAAATCTTTTATGCCTTCCTTTAACAGCAGGAGTCATTTAATGCCATAGTAAATGGAACTTCTTCTAAGGATTCGGCTAGTGATTTTCATTGGCTTCTGTCCCCAACTGCTCTTTAAATTGGAGCAGGTCTCAGCTAACATAACACAAGAAGCTCGGGTTATCTTCACAAAAACATGTCAATCACTGACCCTCCCTTCCTGTTGTCATTGGAGAATTCCTTTCTGAAATGGACTAGGTCTGGTAACATTGAAGGAGATACAGGCTACCTCGTGCCTCCTTTTTTTAGAGCTGGCACAAATTTCAAAGTGAGAGTCTAGGAGAAAGGCTTGAGTGTGCTGCACGGCAGTTCCATCAGAATGGGCCAATCCTAACAGCAATGAGGACAAACACTTCCCTGGGGTAAAGGCCAATGGAGGGCAACTTTTATTTAAGAACTGGAGGTCTAGTTGCTGTTGTCTGATGCTAAGGATCAGAACTGGCACTGTGTGAAATCTTCCAAGTGAAATCCAAGATTTGAAATAGGCTCACTGGAATATTGGCCAAGAATTGGGAATGTGAATTGAGCGAACAAGTTTCAGTCCCCACTGGGACTTAAAGTTGCAGCTTAAAACAGTCAAAAACTTAGTGGTTTTTTTGACCCAAACTAAGTGGCAAGAATCATATTAAGAATTTGAGTTAATTCACCTGAAACTTGCAACCTGAGGCATGAACCCACAAAAACTGACCAAAAGAAAGCAGTCATACAACCTTCACCGTATCTCCTTGAACTGTTGCCAAAATTTGCACTTCTCTAATCAATGGGTCATTATCAGTATTGTTCTTAACAGAAGAAAAGTTGCAATATTTCCTGTTTTTTTAAAAAAAAGACAGTACCAGGGTTGTTCCCAAAGGGGGTAGAACTTGATTTAATACAGCACTTCTCATGCTGAAGGTATTATAATAGGACTTCCAAAGCAACAAATAATTTTGAAACATCCTGGGATGTGTTATCATAAAGTGCAGAATAATTTAACTCACCCAGTAGTGCCTAGCTACTGAGTCAAAGCAAGGGGATAAACGAGCATCTTCTGCTCAGAGAAAAGCAGGTCAGACGTCTCCGAGCAGGGAGTTCCAGAAAGAAGGGCTATCCTGGGACTCAGTGGGTGGTGCATGACGATGGAGTGACCAAATCAGAGCACGATTCTGCAGAGCTTTGTCGGTCAGGGGGAGCGTCCAGGAGCTTATTTAGAGTCTGTGACTGGTGTGGCTATTGCAATTGCCAGAAGTGGATTTGTGCATCTGCTCAGTCTGGTGCCAGTTAGAAAACCTAGCAATAAAATGCTCCTTTAACAAGGGGTTCCTGTTAGCCCTCCTGACTTTCCCCAGCAGCTATTAGACTCTTGAATGTACCACTGTTAATCACAAGCTCTCCTGGCAGAAAAGGCACAGCTCAGCAGACCCAACTATGTGCCAGCTCTACAGGATAAGCTGCTTGTGGGCTTTAGGTGCCTGTTGTGGTGCTGTTATGTAAACTAACTTACATACACGGTGGTAGTAATATATAAAGCCGCAAATGGCAACAGGAGGCGGCGGCGTGGTGCCTGACATTCCGCCTGCTCCCTTCGGCAGCAGTCCATATTTGCCTGCTGATGGTCTTTACGAGCAGGTGTTGTGACCACTGATGGCTAAGAACATTCAGAGAAGTCCAACCTGCCTTTGAGGTTAGGTGGAGACTTTAAAGATCCAGAGGGCTGTTAGGAACCCAGCTCCCCTTGACTTACAATCTACTCTGAAAATTTGCCCCTTAAACTGTGTACAGACTGCTCTGTTACATACTCCTTGCCACAGGTCCTGCTAGCAAGTGGCTTATTGAGTCAAGGCCCTTGTGCTCATCAGATTAAATTGCATTGCTAGGATGTACTTGTGGGCCCAGTTCTACAATCTTTGGTCATGTTGAGCAGGACTTAAATCGTGCACATTATTCCATAGCCATCAGTGAGGACACCTGGGTAAGCAAGTAGCGCTCAGCATGAAGAGCTGTAGCATTTGACCCTGTACAACTTACCTACATTTGTTTTCGGAGTCGTACACTGTAGGTATAGTGAGCAAGGACTCTAGGTGATGTAAATGAGCACAACACTGGATTTTGATGGCACTGCATGGACTTACACCAGCGGCGTATCTAGCGCAATATAGTTACGCTAGCTGTAGCAAGAATTCTATTCTTTCTAAGGAGCTTTATATCCCACATGGTCACTTAGTAAATAGAATATTTTTAGTATTCAATTTTTTTTTTAAGCAGGTATGAAGTAAACACCGCTTAGTGTGATTTAAGAGGATGGTGTCCACACATCAACCCATGCTGGGGAAAAATTCAAACTGCCTTTATAACATCTGATTAGCCTCCAGCAACCTCCTAAGACAGTGGTTTTCAACCTGTGGTCTGCAGACCCCTGAGAATCCTCAGACTATGTCTAAGATTTCCAAAAAGGTCTACAACTCCATTTGAAATTTTTTAGGGGTCTGCAAATGATAAAAAGTTGAAAACCACTGTCCTAAGAAAGTGATTACAGCATTCTTTGTGCACACGTTAAACAATTCAGCCTTGGGCACTGGCAAAGCACAACTACAAACACCGCAGTGCCGTACTTCAGAGGTGCGGCTTGGGGAAAAAGCGGCAGAAAAACTAAAATAAAGTGAAGGTTTTTCTTAATTATTGACAGCACAATCAAATGGAGATTGGGTTTAAAGTCACCCCTTCTGTTCTCAGCCTATCAGGAAGGCAAGGCTCCCGAGGGCAGGATGGGCTCTCTCTGTCCTTTATTTCTACTGGGCATGTACTGGCTTTTCCTATTTGTCCTTTGAGACCTTTCAGAACAGTTTTGAACATTATGTACTTAGAGTGCAAGCTCCTCGGAGCAGGAACCATCCCGGACTCTCTTGCAGGAGCATCTAGAGCCTCCAACCAAACTCAATGGTCCTGGCCTGTATTTATCGTCATTTAACTGATCCAGTAACTAACTTAAATGGAAGTGTGAGCAAACCATTGTTTTTTTTCCCCTCAGGGAGTGGGGATCCCTCTGTCTAAAACACCGAAGACAATGGGTTTGATGCTCTACTTTGTTACACTTGAGTGCACTTACGCTAGCGTTAAAGTAGCGTAATGGAATAAAGAAATGGGCCCATGGGGCCTGATTTCTGATTATACTGACACCAATGTGAGCTCCGTGTAAGCCTGTATTTCATTGCAACTGCTACGGATTTGCATCACGGAGAGGAGAGAAATGGACCCAAATGACCCCCTCCCCCCACCACACACACACAAAAAATTAAAATTGTCAATACTTTTTTACACTACCCAGAATGAATTTTGTTAAACAAATATGGGGTCATGATGGAACTCTGATATCTGGTTTACTGCAAAAGGAAAAAACATTGTTTGTTATTTTACTTGTATGACTTGTGGATAGTCTGGTTTGCTCAAACCTAACTAATGCGATGGCGGGCAGGAAGTGCTATGATAAAAGTGATTCTCATGAATCTATGATCACTGATAGGTGGAAATGGTTTTCCCATACCATGAATATTTCCTTACTCTGAAGGGAGGGAAGGAGGAGTCAATCTCAAAAGTATTCAAACTGAAGTCATTTTGATAATTTCAAAACGTTGATCCAGTTGATCATGACTTTACAATTATTTTTTCAGTGGAATTAGCTTAAATTTCTAAATGAAAATGTCAAAACGTTTCCAGAGTTTTGTAGCTTTTCAAGTTGAAATTTGTTGAACCCTAATGCTGTTTTCACAAAGAACTTTGACTAATCAGGGAGTTGTTTTTGGTGGGTTTTTGTTTTTTTTTGGATAAAACAATCAATTGAAAAATTCCTGACCAACGCTACTGCTGGGAGACTTTAAAAACTCATTATGATGTCAATAGTAACTGAGTCAGTAACATTTTGAGGCTATTTGGTGGTCTGTCTGAGGGCAGTTGATGTTCAGTCTGGTTCTTGGTAGTTTTTGTGGCTTGCACATGGCTATCTTAATAATTAGAAGTGAGTGAATGAAAATCTTGCTCCTAGAAATGGCCTCTCCAGACAGAGGGGCAGAGTGCTTGCCTATGCTGAACCTTGTTCTGCAGAGACCCTGTGGGGTTTGTTGCTGTATAGAATATTTTATATGGAGTCTATACTGAAAGATTCTTGTTTTAAAGTGTCCTAACGGGATGATAATTCCATCATATTAAAGCACATTTTTGAAACCCTAAGGGCCATATCCTCCTCTGAGATCAATGCAGATTTACACCAACTGAGGATCTTGGCCTAAGATTCACAACAACTGTTTCCTATTTATCTCCATGAGCCTAAAAGTGGGGTAATTGCTAAGGGATCTGTCAAATATTTTGCCCAGAAAGATAAACACATTGCCCTGTGCATACTAATGATCTTTCTTTAATGCAGTAACTGAGAGTCGCAACAGAAACCAACTCACCAATAAATGCATAAAGTTACTTTATTTTCAGTACACATTTAATTTTGAAAAATATAAATGCTAAAATATCTCATCTTGTTCATCTCTTGATTCCATAAAAGTCACAATAGAAAGCTTCATAAAACTGTAAAATACTATAATGTTATAAGGAATTTCACGTTTTTATATTACTGGAAAAAATCATTAATATATTGAAATGTTTTCTGCTTTTTTCCTTTTTGTTCCACCATCTTGATCTACTTCATTTTAAAATAAGTTTTTATTCTCTCCTCCAAAGCAAATACAGACTTAAGAGGATTTAAAATAATAGAAGTATCTGAAAGTGCGTGTTGATTCCAAAAATGTAATGAATACATATATGTATCAGCCATAGGAATGGCTACAAAGATGAGACAGAGGGAGACAATCACCATTTTCACATTGTAGGTCTGGGACAGAGTTAGCTGTAAAGTTTCACTGGAGAATATTAGCCCTGAGTAGCAGAAGCTCATCTCATTAAGGGTGCTCATTGATTTCAGTGGATTTTGATTCAGCCCCTAAACGCACTCTCAAAACATAAATTTGGTGAGCCAAACTTCCCCCATCCAAACACCGCCACGATTTTTTGACATAATTGCTATTTAGTGTCACAAGGCTGAAAGAGTGCAATGAAATGCTAGTTCATGAGACCCTAGATAGGCTGATGCTATCAAAGGGCCACTTTGCTGCATTTCACCTTTTGGAGCCAGCAGGTCTTTTTTTTGTTTGTTTGTTTGTTTCAAACAAAAACCTTTCATCTTAGTGCTCTGTCGTGAAAAATCCCAGGCTTCTGCCACAAAGGAATTAAATGTGTATAGATGAGAAAAATACCAATCTTTGATTATTATTTTTTAATCCCATCCCTAAACAGTGTCACCCTCTGTACAAGAGCTCAATCTGTTAAAGCAAAGAAGACGACAGAAATCAGCAGTCAATACATTTCAAGTACATTTAACATGGTTCAAAAGTGGAAGACCTCATTTTCTGGAGATTGATCACCAGGTAATAGCAAATGTAAAGATTTGCTCTGCTATGTGTGTGGGGGCGGGAGGGTGCATTGTAAGCAGTTCTTATTCTCTCTTCCTTCAGTGCTTTTCTAAAAAAAATAAAAAATCTGCTGTTGTCCAACACAAATTAATTTATTTCAATCCTTCCTCAGCAAGCACATGTGGGTTTCTCTAAACCAAAATCAGAGGGTCTGAGCAGAAGAGAACAAAATCCTACACACGCATACTTTGTACATGGTACTTGGCTCTGTTGTTTCACATTATAGTGGGTTGTGATTTTTATAGAGGAATGAAAAGTGTTTTATGTTTTAAATTAACATAGTACATCCAGATACACAGCACAACCCTAAGTATCCATCCTCCAGTTGGGCAGCTCGGTTAGCTGAAGGCAATATACACTCCCTTCCTGAAGGTTTCAGCTGTCACTTAGGAGAATCAGGGTTGGACTGTTTATTGGATGCTAATCTGCCAAGGAAGGAAGGCTGCATTTCCTTCCCTTTGTCACGGTCACCAATTTTCAGAACTTTCCAAGTGATAGCTAATTACTCTTTATTTTGTCCCTCTAAAGCAGAACTAACTTTTTGGACTGACCACGGGCTGGACCTTAGATCCCCTCCTTTGGAGGGGGAGGGTGTATATTTGTTTTTTAAATGCTGATGTAAGGTGGGATGCTGAATTTGGCATTTTAAAAAAAAAAAGTATTTACCACCCCTCCCCCAACTTCTAATGTGCAATGTTGTTGCTAAACATGATACACTGGTGTGTTATAGGTGTAGCTCGTAAATAATACCAGTGACAGTCAGAGAATAATGGGCTGGTTTCTGGATGGGTGCAAACTGGTGTAGCGTCAACAGGGCAATGCCAGTTATACCTGCCCAACAGCCCTAATAAGGTCAGGCTGCAATTATTATGGTCCATATTTCGGCTGTCTTAATACAGCATTTTATTTAAAAATAACATTTCCAGAGACTGCTATAGCACATTTGGACGAAGAAAAAAAAACCCTCTACACTATTCTGTGCCTGTTAGTGATGGGAGGCTAAAATATGGTCTATCGGGTCTCAGAACTCTCATGACGTTGATGTTTTTAGTTGAAGATGGGCTGTGTTATTTTCATTACAGCTTTGCAGGCCATTAGTCCTCTTGCAGCAGTTTCATTTCCCCTGAGGCATCGAGTACAAAGTGTTAGAAAGTAGCTTGTGGGGGGGCACAGGTTATTTTTTTTAAATGCACATGGTATCAAATATTAGGCCAGCCCCTTAAAGCCACTAGGAGGAAACCCAGCCTGTGGCAAGACTCCCATTGATTTCAACAGGAGCAGCTGCATGCTACCACACTTCCGACACCCCTCCGAGGTGCGGCTACTATCAATGGCTAGGGGCCAGACTGTTCTCTTCACTTTCATTCACAGACACAGTAGATCTGGCAGAGGGGCAAATAGAAGTGGAGTGCCAATCCCTGGGTTTCTTGACCCTATAAAAGTCTCTGCCCGAAACAGTGCTATCTTGTGCCCAGTCTCCTCTCCAAATGCTGTGGAGAAACAGGTGGTAAGATGCTGTCAACAGGGTCAGCATTTCCTGATTGTTCCCCAAGAGAAGAGGAGTTTGGAGGTAAAAACCAGCTGGGAAGGTCTGAGCATCTGGGCTCTTCTAGAACCCCTGTTGGTAGGGTGGGCGAAGGGGCTGGAAAGATATGCATGGGGCCCTTGAAGGAACAATGGAGTGGAAATTGGAGCAGACCCCTAGCTGAGTAGCAACTAAGAGTCCCCCAGGGAGGATAAACGATGCCATGACTGTGTGCTACATTTAATGCACATCCAGAGCATACTGTGTGTACAATGGAACCTTGTCAGACAGTCACCTGGATAAAGGTCAGTGTAATGCCCAATTTCCAAAATGGTTTGGTATGTTTATTTTTTTAAAGTATATACAAGAGAGGATAAAAAAAATCTCATTCAAAGTGACATTTGCCTGCTTTGTTTAGAAGCAAAGTAATGTGGATATTGTATCCATTTAAAAAGATGCATTCTAAATGGTATCTTTGTCATGGTGGATTCTAAGTTCTATACACAATGGTGAATGGATCTGGGGGAGTACAGTACAGTTATCTGCATTCAGAGTGTAGACTTTCATGACTGATTGGTGGCTTTCCTAAGTAGGAAATGTTATGGATGTATATATCCAGATAAGTAAGATTAAAAACTATCTTCCTCTTAACCATATGATCATGGTGCCCACGCTGTATTACATGCAAATGTGTACAGCCACACACGTCTGTACATGAAATAATTCTAACTGTACTGTATTGGAAAGCAACAAAATTAATACAATCAGCATCTGTCCACTGACACTACCAGTCAGTACATCAGTTATTGCCATTAAATGCAAGTCTCTTCCTAAACCACACAAGAGTTAACCTACATCCTGTCACCTTCATGTACAGCTAGAGTCTTTAAAAACAAACAGAGGCTTCAGATGGAAGGTATTATTAAAACTGATCCAGCCCTATGCCATGACTTGGAGATTGTGTAATTTTTGTAAAAATCACATTATATATCATACAATACATTTTGACAGAAAGCCTGGCATCTAGCAATAAGAGGTAGAACTACTCCAAACTATATGTTTCCTGCTGCAGGAAAAATTCATTTTTCTTTACAGTAATTAAAAAAAAGTTTAAAAAATTGACAAAAAAGTTGCAGGTTAGGCCCCATAATTTAAACAAAATAATCTAGGAAAATAACACTCTTCAGTGTACCTGACAGATAAGTCCATTAAAGTGTTTAAAAAAAAAGTTGCATAGGAAAGGGACATTTCAGAACACAAGCTACAACGCTGGCAATAGTTTGTCTGTGCTGGGAGTGAAGTACCTTTAAGATTTCCTTCTCTTGACACTACAAGTATAGACTTTAAGAGCAAGTTAGTATAGCAGCACTTTCCAGTAGTGTAGTAAAGACATTGAATTAGCCTGGAGGTCAGTTTTGTTCTGCCAGACAGAAAAAAGAAAAACAAACACTGATTCACAACTAAGGTAATGTCAGTTCCTCTGACATTTCACAACGGTATTTATAATATATCCTTAATACTTCTGCCCTCTGCTTAAAAAATATGAGAGATGCGTGAGTGTCTGAGTGACAGAAGGCAAAAACGAATGTTGGTGAGTGGAAAAACTGGGTGAGAAAGGTAGAGGGAAGGTACAGTGTGTGTCAGATTTACCTATGCGGCAGGGAAGCAGAGAGCATTTTAATATTTGGCTGGTGACAAAAAAAAGTTCAGTATAAGTTTAACAAACAAAAAAGTTACAAAGTAGTTTCTGTTCCCCTGCTCCTCCAGAAATAACCATTGTCTTCAGGCTCAAGTTCTATTCTAATTTGAGGCACAACTTTCACTGGAGTTCGTGGAGGGCTGAATGCAAAAAGAAAACAAGGTAAAACATATGGACTGAATTTATGTTTCTAGTGCATTTTGAAAGGATCAAGTGATTTCTCCCCAACTCCTTCATTACAAAATACCACTTCTGACTTACCAGTGCATGCAACTATTGACAAGTCACTTGAAAATAAAGTGCATTCACTATGTTTTAACATGAGGGAATCTTAACATTTTACTTCTTACTGGCCAAATAATGCTGGTTAGTCTAAGAGATGATGGTATGTCTAGAAATGGGATGAATAGTCAAGTCTCACTCAATTCATACATAAATAATAGAGTATTCAGGATTTTAGTCCTCTGTATATTAAAACAGCCCAAATATTCAGTGGTGGCTGCGGTCTGTGGTATCTATTCCTAACACAATCCTACATGCCTTTATAAATCCAACTTCAGGGCTTAATCCTGCAAGAAGCTAACAATTCTCCTGCACTGAATAATTACAGATATGTATATTTTATTTCATTACACCTGAGATCCATCATGTCATGCACTCAAAATAAAAAGCTGCTGCTTTTTGTTTTAACATGAAGAGATCACTTGCTAATCTTTGGGAATTCTTGGACAAAATCTCTCTGGCTGTTTGAGTAGTAAATTCAATAGTCTGACTCTCCCACCAGCAGCACTGCAAGGCCATGTCAGTGCTAGGCTCAGAACCTACTGAAACATGCTACTGCAGCCATGTTTAAACAGGGTGATTGGTAAAAGGGTTTTTAATCACAGTTCCCACTCCAGTGGGGACGGGATTTTTTTTTCATTGTGGAAACCTGTTTGTGGCCCTAGTTTGGCCAGGTACATAAGCACTTACTCCTTAAACTGCAGCATGTGTGTAAGTACCTGGCTGAATTGGGGCCTATGAAACTCATGTTACAGACTATTACTTAATAGGCTATCCCACAATCTGCTGCTACTCGAGGGGCCAAAGTCTGGGTTCTGCGCTCATAGCACCTGTGTAAAGTGCTTGTGAGCACCTCACCCCCCTGAAAACCAATCCTGGAGAAACCTCACTACAGCCGGTTGCTCCAGTGCTAGTGAAGGTGTTTGGGAGGGAGGAATGTTAGGCAGTACTGCTTGGGACTCAGAGAGCCACCACCCTCCTCCTGTTCTGGAGAATGCTCTCAAACATACGAAGGAGGGGCATCACCATCTCCTGAATGTCTGGTCCTAGTAGGCATGCGCACCCATGCAGATAGATGCAGTTAAACAACAGCAAGTATCTCAACTTTCTTATACTGTGGCCCGGCATAATTCCTTACAGATGCACACAGTCTGTCTTGATACACAATTAAAGAAAATCCTATCTGTCAATGAGATGACTTTGCTTTTGTGGCAGCAATTGTTTCAGGGTAATAAGTTCCTCAAGGTCCCTCTGCTAAGTTATAACTCAGCTTTTATTATTTGTGTGTCCTGATACAATTAAGTCAATGGCAAAATTCCCATTAACTTCAATGGGAACTGGATTGAACCCCATACAGATTTTTTTTTTTTTGCCCCACTGCAAAGCAAGCCTCCCTTTCAGCCTGGACCTATCATATACCTCATGAAAGCCACACCTCCATTGTATTTACTGAACGTACAATACATCTCATGAGACCGTGCTGTGGAAGCTCCTACCTTGGCATAGTGTGTGACTGAAGGAAAGGAATTTTATCAGCACGATGTATGGCGTTCAAGGAATGTTGGTGATTTTTCTCCTGTTTAAGAAAAAACAAAGTCGTTTGTCACAGCATTCAGCCATTAAAAATATAAAGTTCCCCTCTAGCAAGTCCCCAAATATTTAACCATGGAATTTCACAGATTCTGAAAAAGCATGGAAGACATCAACAGAATCAAGCTGAGACAGTCAATTGAAGGGAAAAAACCTCTGCCATCAGTGTGACACAAAATGCTAATTTTCAAACGTCGTCACTTTGCATGCACAGAGGCAAGTTTTTGGTTGCAGTTTAAAAAGTAGATACCCATGCACCCACCACTACATGCATATTTCATTGGCCCAGCACTGTTTGAAACTTCACCTCTAATGTTCTGACCAACCAAACATAGCATGAAAACTCACTCCATACTTAACTGGAGGGTGGTGTAATTAGGGCTGCAAAATTCAATTTAAATTTTTTTCCAACTTTTATTGATTTAAATTTGTGGAAAAATATGGGAGGGTCAGAATAATTTAATGATAGCAAACGCAAAGATGGAAAAAATTTAAGCTTTGTAACTATTAAGACACAAGTTGTCAACACCCGTCAAAATCTACAGAGTAAATATCCTTAAATCAAACTCTAAGTGCATTTTTCTTACATCACCTAGCTGCAAATTTCAATTATCAATGGATCAATGGACATGTACTGATAAACATCTAATCCTTCCATCCTACTGGATGAATTAAATATTTGTAAACTGCTGTGAACATGCTGCAGAAGTATTATTTGTATTATGCTTTCGAACAAAGCCTTTTGCAGGATGATACCACAGTGTAGACAGATTCCAGCTACTCTCTCAAGAGCAAGAAAATCCTCCATTATAATTTTTGCCTTGCCAATAAATAAGAGTCAATTTTATTTTTCAAAATGTAAAAATACATCTAAAATATTTATTCAAGCCACTCTACGTTTTAGCTATTCACCACTCTGAGTGGAAAGTGCTCTGATAATTTGACTTGTTATGAAGATCTCAACAGATCCTGAACTATAGTAATACAGCATTAGATTATTTTTACATGCACAGACATTGCAAAGGGGGTCAAAGTGGGATCATTAGGCTAAGCGCCATGATAAGCCACCCTCCTGTAATTCTGTGCAGTTCACCATATTGGGTGATTTATTTTTCTGGTATATCTGATCAGCAGGGAGGCTGAATCAGATTTTACATCTACAGTACTGGGGCAATGTCAAAATAAAAATCATATTTGAAAAATGCTTTTGCCTGTCACATTAACAACACTTTAAATTATTCAAATGGAGTAAGTTGTGCAACTCTAATTTTTAGCATTTCAGGCCATTTGATCAGTGAAACAAGAATTGTCTGCATCACTTTTTGGTTCTCACAATCACAATAATGCTGTTGTATTTGGATTTCTATCAATTTCTATACATATCAGGTTTCTCTGTCTCTTTAACACACACACAATTATAGGTACACTTTTCAAAAGCACCTACATCTCATTGGTTACAATCAATGGGCCAATTTAAGATTGTAGTGTAGACAAAGCCTAAGTCACTTGCGCACTTTTTAAAATTATATCCTCTGGGCCTAAACATTGACGGAATTCCTTTAAACAAAAAGGAAATTGGATAGCTATGAAATTTCAAATTGCAGTACAACGCAACCATAAGCTTTCATCAACAGAGAACATAAAGTCAAAAAGATAATTTACTATTTGACCCTTAAATGCTCATTGCCAGCACCTCAATAATTGTTTTAATACAATAATTTGGGTTTCCCCTCCAATTCCATTATTCCCAAACAGCATTTTCATCTACTGCTTGTCATTTTAAAAAGCTGACACAGACCCCCTGAGAACTCATGGCAATTAATCTGAAATTCCAGGCTTATTAAACAAATTATAACACTAGAAAATGCAAATGGCTATAAACAAAAGTTAAAAAGGGGGAAAAAATATAATCAATTGTGGATATTCGAATAAAAAAACCAAACGCAAGTCACCTAAGAAGGCAAATATGTTAATGCTGCATGGTTTAAATGATCACCGCCTTGTCAATTAAATGATTTAAGAAGATCAATGACAGGCCGAATTTGTTAAGCGCTGATTTTTGTGATTGTTTGGAACCTAAGGAAACAAAAACAGTAATGGACAGTGGTGCTGTTTCTACCCGCTGCAATCCAGAACATTAACAGCAAGGGAGAGAAACCAAGTAGATACCACACCAAGACACACACACATACACAAAAACAACAACAGCCAGAAATGGACTGGATGATTTAGAGGGTTAGAGAGAGAGAGAGAGAGCTAGCGAGAGACCTGTTAGTAGCTGAGTAGAGGCAGTTAAGGTGGCGGCACCAAGAAGGATAACACAAAACTTGCAAAAAGAAAAGAAAAAAAACAAACCTCCCCCAAAAAACTAGAGGCCTGAAAATTGTTTTAAAAAGGAAAAGAGAAAACTTCTAAGGGATAGGACAGATCTTTGTTTTTTTTTAATTCAATCTCTGTGTGCGTATATACACGTGTGTGTATCTTTTTGGCAGTGCAAGACACACTCAAGCAGGCATGCAAGAGGTTAGTTCTACTCACTGTCGGAAGGTTTGCTATCACTTAGGAAAGGTTCCTGTTCCATGATGTCCATTGGAATTTTAATACTTGGGACTTTTTCTGAGTAGGGGCAGTCGGACTGTGAAAGAAACGTGCAAAAGGTCTTAGAACATTGCCACTGCTCTCTCTCTCTTAGTGTCCCCCACATATTCAATCCATCCTTCACAGCGCCACTGGTGGAGAGGAGTGAGAAAGGGAAAAAGGGATCGTCCACCTCAGTCGTTTCCATGCGCTCAGCAGCCCCGTCACACCATACTTCCCCTTCCCTTACTACAAAAGCAAGACAGATTAAAGACGCATGCAGTGGAGCTTTCCACCTTCTGTCCCGCCCCTTGTCCCCAATTTATAAAACTCTGCCCTGTGTCCAGCTCAAAGATGCCAGAGGGGCAACTGCCCCAAGCTGAATGGAAAATACAGATGTATGCTGCATTCTCAGTGAGAAATCACACAGGACTGCGGCGTGTGAAAACCCATCAGAAGTATTCCTCTGCTGCCATTTCTTTCTGAAATGCCTCAGGGATGTTTCTTTTCCTCTGAAGTTGCTATAACTGAGATGGGCAGAGTCCCATAGCATCCCCTGTCAGGTGGGCTTTCTTATCCCCCCCATTCAAAAAAATGACCAGTCCCAATTCCAATTCAAGTTACATTTAATTTAGTTCCCTACTTCCACACTCCATGTAAGAGCTTTTATAATCCAGCAGAAGCATGACTAAGCAGCTAGCACCATCACACAGCACTCTGAGGTATTTTCAGTGCAGAGAGGGGTTGCCAGTACTTTAGCAAGTGAGTCCCACACGTTTTCTCCCTGAGGGCCCTCTCTTGACTTTAAGGGGCTTTGGCTCAGACCCGTAGCAACTGATAAACACCATGTTCCAGGAATAGTGTACCGACAGGAAGGGCTAGACTCTATTAATTTGGATTGCCATTCAAGGAAACACTTAAGCACATACTTAAGTCCTATTGACTTCAGTGGAACTTAAATAACACGCTTAAAAGTTAAAAGCCTTGGTTACCCATGTAAATAAAAACACTTTCTCATAACCGAGGAAGGGCATACCAGCACTTGGGAAAGCAATTAATATTAAGTTGCACTTTGCTAGAAATGTTTAGACATTGTTCCTGAAAAGACATAGGTCCTGCATTGACGGACCCGGCACAGTATGCCATTTGAAAGGTTGGGTAGGAAGACCTTGTACAGAGGTCTTGTGGTATCTGTACTGATTGTTGGGTATTTTACAAATGTTTCCAGTGGGAATCTGGTACATTTCAAAGGCAAAACATTTGCTCTTCAGAAATATTTTTGTGAGCTTCAGTTCTGACAGGGATGGTTTAACAGCAAACATCTAGAGAGGTAGTGAAGCCATCCCAAATTACCCTCCAACAAATCACAGTTTCCAGGCAAAGGAATATAATAAATTTGATGAAAACGCTGACACTAGAGGTTCTTCTTTATACATTACCATTTGCAAGAAAAGAGATCTCAAATCTCAATATGCAAAAAAAGAAAAGCATTAAAGGTTTTGCATCTTCAGCATTTGGCAGCTCTGACAAGGTTACTAAATGTGAATCCTGATCTAAACATAGTGGTCCAATTTTTTTTTTTTTTTTTTTTTATTTTTTTTTTTTTTTTAAGGGGGTACTTATTATTTTTTGGTGGCCAACTTTAAACACTTTTATTTGGTCTTTTTT